AAGCCCACCTGGGAGAAGAGATAACAGGAGTTAATCATGTGCAAACTGCTTTGAGGAAAAAGAGCACAATCCGGTTTAAAGCCTCATTTTAAATTATTCCTGTGCACTAATTTTCTGCTTCATTTTATTGACATAATTGATGCCATATTTCAACACATCTTGGAAATACACCGCAATGAGCACATTTCCTTCAGATACATGTTTTTTCAAATAAATAGCAAAGAAATGGTAATTTATTACAGCATATTTTTCACATGAAAGTTGACTTATATGTTTTTGTAGGGGGGGGGGGTGGTGGGCTATGTTTCCTCTCTGTAAGCAAATACTGAATTCTAAAATCAAGTCAGTGTTGTAGTGTCTACAGCATATTACTACATTGGTACGCTTGGCATTCCGGTGGTATTTGAGAGCGTCCAGAAGAAACGTTATTTCAGAGAGACACGTAGCACAGATGGCCAAAAGTATCTATAGAAGTTACAACCATACACATTTTTCTGAACTATGTACAGGAGTACATAGAAGAAAATAAATGTTGCTGGGTACAAACACCAGGAATTTCTATAGCATCCTCCTTTCCAGAAAAAAAAGTATAAAAATGAAATAAAAATGAAGGCTTTTGACTGTCCGCTAAAGTACCATTGTTATTATCATTTCTGAGCAAATTTCCTCCTTGTAAAAAACCTGTACACAGCATGTACACTTGTACACTTCCTAACTTCTATGGCAGGTCTTAGGAACAAAACTAAACCTTTTTTTTAAGGGCAGCATAAATGTTGTACTGGGTTTATGTTGGGACTCTGGGTGCATGTCACTTAGAGGTATTTCTAATTCTAGAGCTTTACAAATTAATTATTATTTACCTTGGTGTTGTGGGTGCTGTAATAAATGACTTGATGAAGATGACAGAGAATGACATTTTTGAGTCTGCAATTAAAACTCCAGAGTTACTAAACTAGAGAACAAATGTGACTCTGACAGTAACTGTATCAGATTTTGGAAAAATTCTGTTGTTTATATTAAACCTTCTCTATTTCAAGTTTTGTAACAAGCTCAGCTGTGCCATAAAATGGAGACTAATACTCTGCTAGAGGGTGGGGTACCGTGCAGCTGTTCCAATGACAAATACTGTAGATAAAGTCACAGTTCGGTTTTCCTGCAGGTAGACAATCCAAAGATCATGCCTCTTCCAGTGCAAAGTACAAGGAAAGAAACAGCATTAGATAAACCTTGTTTCTTGGCAGAAATTGCCATAAATTTCTCAGTTGGAAGTCCTGCATAACACCAAGGAAATCACTGAACAGGCACCTGATTTACATTAGAATAAATGAGTACAGAATGGCTGTTGTAGATGTTTTTGTCTTTTCCCTTCTCCTTTCCCTGTGTTGCATATTATTCTTCAAGAATATAGGAGACATTATTAAAGGTGATTCATCAAATTCCTTTAGATTCAGGTTTAAAGACGGTCTAACAAAATGGCACTGTAAACTCCCCCCTTATTAGTGCTGTACGTGCCTTTCCTGCAAGGCTGCTTCAAAGTGACACAGTTCTTTAGAAAAAAGAGAGCCTGAAGATGTTTAAATTGAGTTTGTAATTAATTTCTTTTTATCTCTCAGAATATCACATCTGGTTAATACAGTCCTCGCTTCAGCTTGTATTGGACTCGCGACAGTTTTGAACTTTGTGAACCTTGAATCTGAAGGTAAACCTCCTGTCACTGGGCACCTGTGAATTCTCTCTCTGGCTGGTTGTGCCCTTCGTGTTGTCTGTTGCTCTTCATACTCTTCTTTATTTTATTTTATTTTATTTTATTTTCAGTCATGTGATGCAGTGATCCAAGTTCAGTACAGAAGAGTCTGTTGGGCTGCCAAAGCCAAAAGACAACCTACAGCAATCCTGAGTCGTGGAAGAGACATAGCAACCTTTGGGATTATTGCTTAGCAACTGCAAACACAGAGGAGTAAAACTCACAGCCCGGCTCCCCAGCAGGTCTGAGAAATCCCTAATTCACTTTTGAGATTTTTAATGGTTGAGAACAGATGGGCATATATTTAATTCCTGTTCATTTGCAAAGCCACTCTGAAAGCAGGAGGAATAAGATCTATTTTGATACCTGCTCCAAAGGTAAGAAAAACAGTTTTTCAAAGCTTCAGAAAGCAAAAGAGAAAGTCTTTCTAAATTTTAATTGTATTGAAAAGAAGATCATGTATGAGAAGGGTATTGGGCTCCTTGTGATTGCTGAGATAAACATGCTCTATGAAGCATGTTAGGGAAAGGCAAAACTATTTCTGCGTGATAGAGCGTCAAAGAGATTGGACTCTGGTTTTGAAAAGACTTTTGTAACGCAAACATCTCCAAAATATTTACCTAGACAAACTTTAGTCTTTCCTGGCCCTGTCCCACCCTTTAAAATCCCCTAACAGAATAACAATGAAACCATAAAAATCTTATTTATGAGCAGATTTGGGTTTTGTACAGAAAACGGGGAGATAATCTTTTTGTACCTGCAGGGATTCCAGCAAGAATATTTCTCTCCCCGAAAAGGAGCCAGGAAAGTGGCATCCTACTAAATAATGAAAAGCTTATCTTGCCTTCAGCTTGAACAAAGGCTTGCAGGAAACTTTATATCACATTTCCAATTTCCTGGGTGTTTCTAAAGCTTGTCTCTGTGCACCGTGCTTACTATTGTTTGGACAATCAAGCCTCCACTTGGGAATGTCAGAGCCCATGAGAGCTCTATATATTATGGGCCAAATTCTCAACTAATGTAAATCAGCACTGAAGTTTATGAGCCAATGGTGTCTTACACAAACTGGAGGTGTGTCCCTGTAATCCTCGACAAATTCCAAGTGTCAGGGGCTGATTTTAGCACTCCTTTGTTGTTTATTTTAGCAGTTATGAGCTGTTTGTATATTCTGCCATACCCTCTTAGTCTTCTTTATCTGTCCTGCGTTAAAGCAGTGGGCATAGTTCTCTGCTCTGCTTCCATTCTTGGAGTTAAGTGAATGCCACAGAATTGAGATAGAACAGTCACACTTAGTTGTTTTTTGTTTTGTTTTGTTTTGTTCAGAGACATAGAGATACTTTATAAACATTTACTAATCCTCAAAATCATCCTAACAAATGGTTGAGAGCAGTGTAGAAAATATATTCATCATCATTCAGAATCAGCCACCTCATAAAGCAGAGTGCAGTTGTCACTTTAACATTGCACAGAAACTGCAGAGCGGATTCATAAAGGATGTTAAAAAATAACATAAGTATTTGAAACTGCAAGAACAGTTTATTTTGGCACAACAAAACCAGCTGATTTGGAATGTGACCAGAACATTTGGTTAACACCCTGCTTTGAACCAGAAAGAGTCTGGTTTTACAGCTTATTGAAAGAAACTCACCTAAGCAAGGAACAATTTGATAGGGTTGACAGGTTTCCCTTTCTACCGGTATAAATCTCCTTTACAGCTCATGTCCTTTGGTAGCAAAACCAGCTACCATCTTAAAACCCTCTGCATGGGTCAGGCAGGCAGCTTGATCCATAAATCCATCTCACTCCCCAGCAAGTAATCATCTTTGAAAACAAATTACCAGAAGATGCCAACAAGCCCATCGAGAAAACAGACATAGAAATTTAGTGCTGTGAAGCATCCTACCTATCCAAGCGGTATTTGGACTCAAACAATGGTTATGAACCAGAAGGTCAACATATTAGTAACTACATTTGTGTGCCAGGAGGGCCGTAGATCACATATATGCATTTCCTGGAGGGCTGAACTCTCTTCAGAACAGCTACAGATGCTTAAACATGAAGAGCAAAACATATCAAAAGCAATGGTATTGCTATGGATACTGAAAGGCCTTAGTGAAAAGCACTTTTAAGTAAGAGCTTGAAAAGGCTAGTGTGGCAGCAAGTTCAAAGTGGAGTTTCATCTTTAATCTGGAAAGGCGTTAGGCCCTCTATTAATATCACCCTTCTCTTGCTGTTGTTTAACACTGGACTGGGGTTTTTTGCAGCATGCTGGTGATTTTTCATGCTTCGAATCGAGTGGTTAGGCAACGTTCTGCTCCATTCTGTATGTGTAAGTCCCATTACAGATGCAGACAGTTATGTGTGGAGACATACAGCCATAGTTTTCAAATTGTGCCTTGTGAGCAACCCAGTTTCTTCCTGATATTTCACAGAATGAACATTTTGAGAATAAAACAGTGGAGTTGGGGAAATTATAAAGGGACATATCTGCAACTCTCTGTAGGTCTGTCTTTTACAGAATAATCTACAAGATGGTGTGCTTGTGAACAGCTTAATTACAGAGTTCGTGGTATAGAGCTTCCCTTTCTGTAGGAGCTCTGCTGACCCGTACAACTTGTGTCCTTGTTACCTTAACAAAATGTCCAGAGGAAAAAATAGTTGCTGAAGTTGAAATTAAGTAGTCTATGGGACAAGCTTCCTCACTGGTTTTCACAGCTACAGAAAAGATGAAGCAGAAGGCGACACGTAGAGAAATCTTGCTCCTAGGCATCTGGTATTTTCCATTACTAGCTTCCTTTGTCTCATATCCACTGGATTTCCTGGCGGCATGGAATGGGACCTAAACAGAAATAATGATACGAGGAGTAACAGGAATCCGCTGGTTAGAACTGGGGGAGAAGACTTCCGAGCACTGTTCACCGCTTGGTTTCTGAGTCTCTAAGTGACCTGGAATTAATCACTTCTCTTCTGTGTCTCAGTTTCTTCTCCCGTAAGAAAGGAACACACTTATTTAGTTGCTCCGTCTCCAAGGGCTGTTGTGATACATAATTAATCTTTATAAATCATTTACTGATCTTTGAAGTAAAGGGGCTGTATTTATTTAAGAGTACAAAGCAGCAGTAACAGAATAAAAAAGGAACATAGAAAAAGAATATTAGTTAATTCCTAACAATGGACTTTCTTCCTGTGTCATCTGCTAGGACACTGCTGCATCTTTCGGCATTGCTGCTTTTGTTCTGTCTCACAGTGATTGAAGTACGGCTGCTCAGCCAGAGGAAGCAGCCCAAACTGCAGGTCTAAAACATCCCAGGCTTGGAGGTAAGAACATGACTGCCACAGAAATGAAGAGAAATCAGGGGAATGATGAGCTGCCATGTCTTAGTAATTATGCTCCGTGGAAAGAGTGTTTTTATGAAAAGGTGCAGCAGAGGTGTCTGAGTCTGCAGAAGGCAAAGGTGAAGACAGTTCGCGCACAAAAGGCAGAAGAAGAAAAGGTAAAGAAGAGAGAACCCTGTGACTGGCTGTCCAAAGAGTGGTTCAGTGAAGAGAAAGAGTCACTAGATACTCGCATCTATTTGCTTGACAAACTCCTACCTACATTAGTCCCAGGAATGGAAAAACTGTTAATGGAAGTGGAAAGAAAGAATGTGCTTGCACCAGACAAAGAACCAAACAAATTTAACCCCATTAATTTTCTTGGAGAATATCTGATGAGACATAACCCTCGGTACTGTATTTCTACAAAACCAGGCCCGTACCTGAGAGGAATGAAGATGGTCACGGAGGAGCTAAAAACTGAGATGCCAGGTACAACATCAGAAAGGTGAGAGAGTTGAAAGCGTGGCTGGTGTCTTGGTCTCGGTTTTACAAAGGGAATGGCGTGACTGCAGCCTGGCTGGCGAAGTGTCGAACAAAATGAGCCTTGTGGAGTACAGCACCGGAGATGGTAGCTGTCTCTCATAAAAACTTGAGAAGCAGGACAAATGCCAGAACATGCCACATAAAATGAAACACTAGTTATTCCTGTTTAAGGCAATATTTTGCCCTTCACAAGTATATAATCCCTCTTTAGACTCTATCTTAATTACATATAGGGAATGCAAACTGCTTTCAAACCAGTCTAGGTTAGTGACAGCAGTTCTTTAGGACAGGTGTTAGTATCAAAGGTCTACGAACTCTTCAGATCATTTCTTCTATATTCTTCCAAACTTAATAAAAAGATAACCTTTTTTTCCTCCTTCAGGATGATTTCTCTTGACCAAACCAACAAGAATATTGTCCTGGAACTGAGGAGAAAGGAGTAGAAACTCCTTCTCCTGGGATTTTTACTTGGGCTTTCCTTTCAGATTCTTTTTTCCCTTTAAAGTAGAAACTGTTTTGTATTTTATCATGTTGCTCATTTCTGGGGTGTATTCTAGGCTGCTTGCTTTAGTATAATATTTAATGACTATTGGAAGGGAGTTCCATGGCACCTTACAATGTGCTAAGGTTGGAATGTGAGTGCATTAGGTGAACAATAATGCTTTAATTTTCATTGCTCTATTCAGAAAAATATAGAAGTGAACATTTGTGTTTACAGATGACCCAGAGGTGATTGTGAATGATGTCAAAATTATTCATTCACTACTAGATCACTTCATTCTATATCTGTGTTTGTAGAATAATGACTTCTATTTGACTGGCTGTCTCTTCTATTTGCATAAATAGTACATACAGCTTGAAAATTGGTTTCAGGGTTTCAGTGTCAGGAATTACGAAAGTAAAATGTTGACGTGTCTTATGCATAAACTCTAAATGAAGATATTTGAAGTTCCCAGTATTATAATGAATAAAAGAATATGTTAAAGCTCTCTCTACTGCTCTGAGTTTCTGTCTGTCTACATTTCTAGTCTACATATTGTTACAGTTCATAGGAACATGCCTTGTGTGAATACAACTAAAGCAGTGTGATAAGTGAATTTCATACAGTCATTTACCTCCTTTTTCCCCACAGATAAAAATAATTATAACTGACTGATCATGGTCAGTGTGTAAGAGTTCAGCTTTTTGGGTTTTCTTCAGAAGCAGACATACAGTAATACAACCAGAGCTGGTAAAAGATTTTCAATTTTATTTTTTATTTTTTAAATGCCGGTCCACTGAAACAAATGGTCTGGGGAAACATCTTCCTTTTCAGTGAGCTTTCCCTCAAGCACAGACTATTCTGGGGGGATGTTTAGAATGCCAGCCTTGCCACACCTTTGTTTTGGGGACTGTTTCACCATTCATATTGCTTCACAGAGGGACACCTGGATGCAGGAAGTGCAGAACCATATCTCATTTTTATTTTGCAAAAGAAATTGAATTAAAATACATAAAATTTCTTGGGAGTTTGGATTGGGTTTTTTGTTTGGTTTTGTTTTGGTTTTTTTTCCTCCTGCTAAAATACTCTTAGCTTTCATTGCGAATCAGAGCTTATTTCTGGAGAGATCAGATCTTCCTGTAGAATGCAAAGTGTTGGCTGCCAGCGACATGTTATCTTGGCCTTGGCTGTTAAGTCCATGTTTACATTTGGAGACAGGTTCTCAATTTGTAGCTATCAGAACTGATGCAAAGGAAGTGACTATTTGGTTTTGTTGGTTTTTTTTCCTCCTGCTAAAATACTCTTAGCTTTCATTGCGAATCAGAGCTTATTTCTGGAGAGATCAGATCTTCCTGTAGAATGCAAAGTGTTGGCTGCCAGCGACATGTTATCTTGGCCTTGGCTGTTAAGTCCATGTTTACATTTGGAGACAGGTTCTCAATTTGTAGCTATCAGAACTGATGCAAAGGAAGTGACTATGAACACTTGCAGAAATCAGTCTCTCCGTAGACAGCGCTGCCACGGGGGTTTATGTAGACATAGCTGTAGCAGGTTTTGCATATCCGCTGGTAGTAGTATCATGGGATTTGCATTCTCAGCAGCTCAGGATTTACATATTTGTGACGGCTGTATTGTGGGATTTGCATAGGATTCTTAAACCACAGCAGCACAGAGGTTTTTACCGACACCATGTAGCACTGAGACTCGTAAGGTGAGTCACTGGCTTTCTCAACATGAAAAAAATGTTACAAGAGAAATGCCAGTCTGTGCTCAAAATCTCTCACATAAGCACCAGAAAGATGAGGAGTGAAATTCTGGCCCCAGTGAAACTCCCGGGAGCCTTGACGTTACCTTCAGGAAAGGCAGGATTTCACCACAGGTTCTTATCTAAAACTTACCAACCCTCAGTGAGCTCTCGCAGGCTTCCTCCAGCCTCTCCTTAACTGCCACCTGACTGGGAGTCAAGGCATGCGGGAGAACAGATGGGAGAAATTCCTTATCCAAATGGATTGATACCTGAGACAGAGACTTTATTTGTCCAGGGACGGTAGTCCTTCAGTCTGAGTCACCCATCCTTGTGTGGGAGTTAGGCGGCTGTCTTCCTGAAGAAACATGTTTCGTTCTGCAGGGAGAAGTCACCCTCGCTGCCATCTCATCTTTTCTGGAAAGTCTAATACTGAAATGAGCTCACTTTGAAACGGGTGCCCAGCACTGTTATAGCCTGTTTTGCCATTATTGTCTAGGGAGGAAACACTTTGTCCCACACCAGGGACAGGACACCAGGCAGAGGGTGCAGCTGCCTGGTGTTTTAGGACCCTAGAAATAAATGCAAAACTGCAGCACAGTGCAGGTGCAGCATGCAATGTAACTTGGGCTGGGCACTGCCCAGGTTAATCACCAGAGCACCTCGGCAACTCCTAGCATGGCCTTAGCCCTGCTTTCAGCTTGCAGACCGCTCCTGAGGAGGAGCTGCAGCTAGAAATGGTCTGGGTTTCTCTTTCTGTCTGTAGCATACATTGGAGGAAAATCTGTCAGTCCATTTAGCTTGGTACCTGCTCCGTATCTCCTCTTTGCTGTGTCTGTGAAGGAGTCAGAAGACAGGAAATTATTTTACCCTTCCCCTGCTATCAAAGCGCCGGAGGCTGAACTGGCTCAGCAGGCACTTGGGCAATGCCCACAATTGATTAAGGAACCCAGTTATTCATTAAGAAACCTCTGTGATAAGTGGTCATGAAGAACAAGTACCTGGTGATAAAACTGACTGTGATCAAAGCGTAATGCTGTAACATGTTAAACAGGCTTTTCTATTCATTAATGAAAATACCATTCTTTTATAATTTCTAGGATGACCCCGTAGCAACAGAAAAGAGCAGGGACAGGATCAGCCCATCTTCACTATACGTGAAATGCAGGGGGAGGAAGGGAGCAGAAATTGTTAGTTAAAATACAGTTTCTGGACTCGTGTGCTCTCAGGTACAAAAGAGGCGCAGTTCCCCTTGCTCTGATTAGCTATAGAGGGTGTGAGAGCCACAGAGGTGTGCAGGGCAGCTGTCTCAATGCAGAGAGATTCCAGCAGCCCCCGTGAGCAGGAACTGTTCTCCCCATATGAACTGATCCTTTGGCTTTAAGCATTTTGAACTTCCTAAAGGCTCCATTTCGTAAGTGAACAAAGTCAAAACCAAAGCAGATCAGTTCTACGGGATCAATTTTATTCAGTTCTTTCGTTGCGCGAAATGAAGGATTGGGAAAAACGTGGCTGGGTGATTAGAGGAGCAAAGAAAACGGAAGGAAGAGGAAAGGGAGGTACTTTTAGTCCAAGCTTGCAAAGTCTGTGTGTTCAAAATGACGGAGAGGTTGGTGTATTACCCCTGTCCTAAGGCAGTAAGGACTTTATTGTGTGAGACTGCTTAAGACATTTCATTGAATGTTGTTCTTTGCCAGTGAAGTGCTCATGTGAAATGGTACTTGGGCTTTGAGACGAATGCATACTGATGCAATTTTGTTGGTAAATCAAGTGTAGCAAAATTAGGCACCTCTGTTCCTGCTAAAATTGAAAGAAAATTGAGGGACATCTACACAACAAACGATTAATGCCATTATAAATGTGAAGGTAACATTTATCACTGTTGAAACGACACAAACTAGGAGAGCTGTACAGATGATTTTCACTTAAATGTCCACCATATACTCTACAAGAGGCTCTCTCCACATGCATGTATCTGACACTCAGAGGTTATTTCTTCAGATTCATAGTTATACTAGATCTCAGGAGATGATACATGTCAGAATATAAATACTCCCACCTCCTTGGAGCTGCCTTCTGAAAACACAGATTACTGATATCTAGTCCAATAGTCACACTAGTAATTTTGTGCCCCAAACATCAAGTATTTCTTTGGAAAAAAATCTGCTTGTACTGGAAGGACAAGAATTTCAGTAAGAAGTTATTTCCTTTCCTTTTGTTCTTCAGGGTAGGCTTAATCTAGCTTAAATATGTTTATGATGGTATCTTTCTAAACCATATTCCCATGTCCTACAGGCTGGCCAGGATGAAGTCTGAGGCAAAGAACAAACGAAAGGAAAGGGAGCAGGTGGACAATATGAAGTCTCAGGTGAAAGAGATGAGAAAGGAGGCCCTGGCAATTCAGTTCAAGGAGTGGGCAGTGGATGTCAGTGGCAGAATACCATTTGCACTGGTAACTAGAGATGATCCTTGTTAACACACTGCTGTGATTGTTCCAGACAGGAGGAGAAGGAAGTTTGTGACAGTGCCGTCTGCCCTGGCGTGGCAGCATGGAGCAAAAGGATGGGTAATGGCTCTGACATCCCTTAGGGCCAGGGTGCAGGTCGCTGTCTACCACTTAGCCTCACCAAGCCCTGATTCCCCACGAGCACATGGAAGGATTGCGATGCATTCTCCACAGAGGTCCTGGGAAGCTAAATGCCCTGTAAGGTACTCAGACGCTCCTGAGGTTGTGGGATACATACCTCATCACTGGATGTCCTTCTCTGCAGCTGGTTATCCCTCAGAATCCCCTTAAAAAGGTCCGAGGCAGCCACTCTTGCTCTCCTGTGGCCTCCATTAAATCTTTCTACCCCTGTGACTCATACAAATTGATACCGCAGCTCATAAAAGATGAGATTTGCAGTAATTGTAATACATCTCTTGGTAGGAGCATCTTTCTTACAAGTCACACAAGGCCCCTAGGAAATTGTCCTGTGGTTGCACACAGCACAACATAGACAAGGTCTACATTTAACAGGACCCACCTATGTGTGGTAAGAAGCATCGCTGGCCCATATGACTAATTATTCCAGGTGATTTGTTTTAGTAATTGCCTACTGTTGTCTGCATGAAACAGGCCTTTGACTATTACCTTGATTTGTAGGTTCAGAGTGCTCTGAGGTCTTTTCCCGATGTCATTGCTTCTACTCCCATAGATGTGAGAAAAGGTAAGTTTTCGATGTGTCTCCTTCAGTTTTATTTCTGTGGTCTGAATTCTGATGCAAACTGTGAGCAAACAGTGAATGGATTTGATAATAGAGGAAGAATCTCTTAAGGGTAGATACACCAGCTAGGATATTAACCACAAATCTTCAGACAGATTGGAAAGAGACTGAACCACCACGTGGTTCACTAATATGATCTTGAAAAGTATGGAAAGAAGTTTAAAAAATCTTTCAGAGAGATAGAAAGATCAGATGCAGGCCCTTTCCACTTACATCCCGCATTAGCCAGACTTTGCCATGTGCTTGTCACGATTTTTAAGAATCACTGTAACAACCTCCTTCATCTACTCTATCCCGCGGTGTTCCTTGTCCCATGGGAGGTCTTGGAAATCCCATGAGCAGCTTGGCATACTGGGAGGTATGGAAGAAAGGTAGGATCAAAAAAATTAAAGTCTGACAGTCTTGTTAACTTTTCTAGTTTCGGGGAAAATGCTGAAGCTTACCTAACTCTCCACCAAATCACACATCTTGTCTAGCCGTTCCCTTTGCCAGTCCCAGGCATGCCAGCGACGCACGGCACAAGGGCCTCTGTATCAGAGCACAGGAAGATTTCCATAATTCCTGCCCACTTTACAGAGCTTACACTTGACCTCCCCGCATAACGATAATTGAATAGATAGAGCCAGGAACATTGAAGTGGCAACATACAGCCTGCTGCCAGCCCTTTACATCGATAGCCTGTAATGATTATCAATAATAACAAATCTGCCTTTGCTGGAAAATGGGATGATAAGCAGGGAACCTCCAGAGTGCATTTCTGCTTGCTGCTGAACTCCCCTCTGTCTAGAGCTTGCCCTTGCTCGGCCCTTTCTATGTCACAGAGTTGTTCCTCTGAGTAATCATCCTGTATTGGTAGTACGTTGTGCGAGTGCCAGACACAGCCCTTGTGCTCCTGCTGTGGTGGCTGCGGTTCTCCAGCGTGAGCAGACACCGGGACGTGAGGTTGAGAAGGAAGTTTCTGTCCAGATGCTTGCTCTCCAGGTGCTGGAGGTGCTTTATGTCGTATTTCACTAACAGTGCGGCTCCATTTCTTAATGTGTTTCATTTAATAGCATCCAATATTCATTATGGAACATTAAGCTTTGTTTTATAGTTTAATAAAGATAATGTACAGTTTAGGAATGTCTTAAGCGACAAGAGATAAATGCATTCCATGGTGAATTTTCTCTTTATTCCTGATACATTGTAGAAGAAAGAACAGAAAAATAATCCCAACAGAAATAGCATGTCTGTGCTCAAAGACCTCATTCAGAAATCTGTGTAGACATTTGACATACCTTCTCAGTGCCATTATAGCAGCCCAGAAGCTGACCAAAAGACAGTTTTGAATATCATAACCAGTAAAAATATTCCCACAGAGCTGCTTGGGAAAATTACTGACTTTCAGATTCCACTCTTGCAAAGCAGAATCCATGTCCCCAGTATTTTAAGGCTGTTTTACCTGTTTGTTAAATCAAAAGTATTTTCTTCCCTCACATAATTCATAAAATCATTGCAATTTGCACCAACATGTGTCAAGAATAAATATGACCATACAGTTCTGAATAGATAAGTGCAGATTCTCAGCAAGAGAAATATGTAAGAATCAGATTTAGATAGCCTCTGTACAGTCAGATGCTTCAGCTATTGTGTAGGATAACCTCAAATAATGTAATCCAACATGAGAAGAAAGTTAATATAACATAACAGTGTGCAAAAAAATGTGTACAATATGAAAAACCACAACTGTGTGCTTTCTAAACCAATATCCCTTCATTTTTTACTAGCAATCTATGACAGGAAGCTGGAAACCGTAGACACGTTGGAAAAAAAAGTAAACATAGATGAATTCACAGAGGTGAGAAATGAAATAAGAGCATCTGATTCAGAATATGATGTTTATCACAAAGTAGTAGCATTTCCCTGGGGACAGCTAAGCTGAGTAAGTGAAGGGCTTCACTTCTCCAGCGTCCCAGGTAACTGGTTGTATCAGGACACTTCACGTTCCATCTCCGTATCCATCCTCTGCTGTCACAACGCTTCCATTCTGGCCAGCAAGGGGGAAGTCTTTTGCTTTCCTCAGAGCTGCAGCCTGTGCCGCTCTCTGAGAAGTTACTCTAGAAGCAGTGGGTTTTAGGACACCCCTTTCAGTCCCTTTCTGGAATGCCAAAGCCCTGAATCACCTGTGAATCCAGGTTTTGCGTTGGCTGCTCAAGGGAGGTTCGGTGTCCCAATATAACCATTAGCCTGAGGTAATTAGTACTGTCCCCAAAGTATTGTTATTTCTGATTAAGTTCTATTAACCATAGCAAAACCTAACAAGTGATGAACCGGGATGAGAAGCTCTACCGTTTTTGCCCTGAACTATTACTGGCCTGAATCATAACCAAACTGCAACAAGCATCACAAATGTGTGAGAAGCATAACCGGGCTGAAAAACACGCAGTTTTAAAATCAAAAGCTGTCACTGAGAAACATCAGAAGTGTGTTTTTAACTCGCCAAAATCAATAAATGCAGTGGGAAGTTTCACCCCATTACTCTACTCTTCATCAATTTGAAAACAACCAAATCAGTTCAAACTATATTTACTGAAAAACTCTCCAGGCCAAGACTTTGCCAGCCATTTCTACCTACGACAGAGCTAAATTTTATGGCTGGGTAATTAAACCTGTGAAAAGGGATGTTTAGAATAGAAATAATGACAGACCCTCAATTGCAGCAGTGCTAGTGGGTGCTGTTACGCTAATTAAAAACGGAGTATAAAGCAGCTGTGCAGAGACTAATTTCAAGCAACCATGTATGATTTTTGTGCCTTCTTCGCTCTCGGGAGACTCACATGTTCGGTATTTTGCCCAGAGATGCATTTTTATGATAACTTGTTGAAGGCTTTTTTAAGCATGAAATGAGGTATTTTTAAATGTAACCTCAGAATAACTGCATTTAATTAAGAAAACTATTGTGGATAATGGGAGCCCAGAGGATTGCTGTTGTCACTGAAATGAAGCATCAATCCATAACCCTTATGGTACATGTGTAGGCACTGAATGAATTCATGCTCCATTAGCATTAGAAAAATGTTTTAAAATATATTTTGTGTACTCTTTATTTTAACTCAATTAAAGATATGACAACAGAGATCAGAAGTACAAAAGATACGGACTGTCAAGCTGTCTGATTTACCAGCCAGTGCAACGTTGTTCTCAGAATATGTTCTCTGACGCTTTTTCCAGTCCGGTTTTAATTGAAGCAAATGATGAGGCTTTCATCACTTCCCTTGGGAGCTGCGCCGTAATCACTGGCTTCGCTCTCAGGACAGGGCTGTTTCTAATCCTCAGCTACAATTTACCTTTGTTCATCAGTTTGCATCATCCACCAAAACCAGAGAGAGGGATGATCTTTCTCCACACTGGTCCAGGCCCTTTCACATGTGGAAAGCATTGCTTTTTAATGGACCTTAAAATTAAATGGTGCCTTTTTTTTTCCCCTTGAATTCAGTGCAGCTTTGGGTTATTTAAAGGCTGTTAGAAACTCAGTAGAAAGACCTCACACGTTGTTGTTGTTGGGTTTCGGGGGTTTTTTTTGGACATGCGAAACAGTGGCTGTTGAATTTTTACATCCTTCATGAGAAGCTCGTGGGGTCGTTTATATTAAAAGTGTTTAATTCTCAGAGACCGGTCCTTAATAGTTTATTTCACAGGCTTTGTACTCTAACATGCAGAATCCCCAGCAGTCTGACACCAAGGGAGATACTCACATTGCCTTTGTAGGGTCAGAATCAGGCTTTAAAGGTGAGATTATTTTTCATGATTACATATGGCTTCCTCGATTTCTATTGAGATCAGCAGGAACAAAAAGCAAAGATCCATTGTTAGTGATGATAATGTGTTCACAAACTACAGCGAGGTCTCACACTGGATAGCAAGAAGGAGGTGTGCCAGCTTTCTTCTGATGGGTGTCAAAATCTCTTGGTTAATAATAAATAAATGTGTGCTTATTATGTGTACAGTACTTTACACAGTAGAGTGCTTTACACACATCAGCTAAGAAAAGCTTATGACTCTACGATAGTTCCTCCTGCCCACATAGCTGAACATACGCGCCTAAAAATTTTCTGTGGAGCTGTTAGACAGCAGTATTAATACACAAGCCTTTGGATGTGTCATCAAGATGACATACAAAATGACAAGCTGCTTGTCCAACCTGCCTTCTCCCAACTGCTGTCATCTTTAAGGTTCATCTGTCACAGGGCTCCGGGTTGTAATAGCTCTGAAGAGCTGGTAGATACACGTAGCCCCAGATCTGCCGCCTTCTCTCCAACCCACCTACATCCTCTCTTTTTATGCTGAAATGCAGAAAAAACATACATTGCGCTAGGAGTTCTTCTTTCCCACGAGCCACCCCTCAGGCCATTGGCTGCTGCTTTTCTGCTCTTCCTCTCTTCTCCACTTGTCCCATATATTTGGAAATTTTGCAATAGAGACATGAATAATAACATATATTAATATTTCAGTTTGTTAATGCCTGTGCGGCATTTCAACAAGTCCAAGATGTTCTAGCACTTATGTCAGGTATCCGTACTCTAAAAATGGGACAATGGGAAACATTCTGTGTTTTGCAAATTCCTCCTTTTAACTGTATGGGCTCCCTGTTACGGTGGCTGGCTCCAGAAACCTGCTATAATAATTCAGCACAGGCTTTGGGATCGTGGTTTGTTCTGATGGCCATTATTATTTATGTCATGCACAGCAGATTTTTAGAACCATATTGCTTTTGCTCATAAAACCCACATGGCTATAAATCCAAAGTGTTAAAGTGTCTTCAAGGCTAGAACTTAAAATAAATCTCGAGTCAGTAGTATTCCCAGTGTCAGAGGACTTAGGTGACAGCAGGCTCATTTTCGAAAGGTTCTTTCCTTTTTTTATTGTATCCAGACTGGTTGGTTCTCTAAACACTGAAGTTGTGGGCAATGGTCATTCTGTGGCATTAGAGAGTTGAGTGAGTGTCAGCTATGCAAAAACTAATGGCTCAAAATGCCTCCTTGGGAGTAAAGTCAGGAATACTAAATGCTGCAGAAAACCGTGGAGAACTTACATCCTCCCTGAGATAACCTAGCTTAAGCAATGACATTTCATAGGAGGGATTCTGATCCAGCATCTCTGAAGCACTGAACATGGTAAGTGAGCTCTGGGCCAGGAAAGGAACTGTTCAAGATGCATTTGTGCAGTGTCCCAGGCTTGTTTGGAGAATAGTGCTGCTTCTGAAAGAAAGAACAAAGTAGGCAGCGTAGCGTCCGTGCACCGAGCCTGCGTTGCATTAGCAGATTAAACTCCAAATTCCTGTATATTTCATTGCATGCAATAGCTTTTTCAGAGTTCAAATAAAGATGAAAATACTTGAAGAAAGCTAACCATTTACACTGTTGCTTTCTCTCCATAGTATGTCCATTCCTACACTGAACATTTTTCAAACGACATGTTCCAAGAAATCCTGAAGCATCTCTGTCAGTGTGCTGATGACTTCCAAGAAGCAATAAGACATGATATGCGGAGGCAAATGTTTACTGATCTCTTCCTAGATTGTGATTATGGAAAGGTAGGCAAAGCAGCTCTCAACCTTTCAATATGGTGATGCTTCCAGTTTGGTATTTCTCTGGGTCACTGCCTTCTTTTTATTCTTCATGACTCCAGATAGTCTCTTTGTGCTTACTCAGCATTATTTTAGAGGACAATAGGTGCTGCATTGTCTTAAAATTCATAGTTCTTAGACACCGAAATAGCTAATAGCCTATAAGCTGATGGCTAATTAGAAACTGAATGACCTAATGTGATGACTTGGGGCTGAAGTTTGATGATTCTGGAGAAGAAATGAACCACAGACTTTACTACTTCTGGTCGTTACCTGTTCCCATAGCACGTTCAGAATGTTTGGGTCCTAATTTGTCTATTCAGCCATACTTCAGAAAAGATAACCTGATATAGACTGACCTTAACAAATGTGCACATTGCTACAATAGTAACATATATTGCATTTATTATGTTGCATTAATTTACACACCTTGAGGGCTTCTATCAATAAATCTCATAATAGTTTAAATTTAAAATGCAAAATAATCTGTCTTTACAACCTCTCTGAGGAAAGTACTGTGAACTTCAGCCACAGTTTATGGACAGGAAATTAAAATACGAGTCAGTTACAGAGCTGGAAATGGAACTCAAAAGCCATAATTTGGTTTTCAGCAGCTCTAAACTCTATCTAGCATCCTCTGAATACACCTGCATCCCCATTTAAAGGGGAAAAAAAAAGCTAGACTTATTAGAAAACCGGTAAATAGTAGGAGCTGAGGAATCAATGGCATAAGCTATTGCTAAAAACTTGGGCTTCATCCAAAAAGTATGGTACTTGTTATGAGTAGCCTCAGTTAGCCAGATGCTGGCTACTACACAGCAAATGGTTGCCATAATCTTACAGTTTCCTCCCCTACATAAATTATATATTCCATCCAGCACTCCTCTAGTGATGTTTACAGCATGCCTACCCAGAATGAACTGTGCTCTACAATGGCATGCTAATAATGTCATTACCTCTAAGAGAATGGAATTACAGAGCACGTTTCAACACCAATGGTGTGTTTTAGAGAATAGCAGGCAAGCTGCTGTTTCAGGGATGAGGAAAGAAATGTGTCTACTTCTCAGTTAGAAGACATTTCATTCTCCTATTGCTCTGTCAAGAAGAGCTGCGATGGATCCTCCTGGGTAGAGTAATATAGAAAGCCAAGTCCTATCTTTGCCATGCATTTTGAAAGGATCCCTTCTTTCCCTTTCACGTTTTAATGTGACTTTCTTCCTATTATTTCTGTGGCAGTAATCACCATATCCGTGCTACTAATCCCAGTGGAATCTCAGGGGCAAAGAGCCAAAAATACTAGCACAACATAACAAGAGTGAGCAGCTATCACCACAGATGCCATCGCTGCCCAGAAAAAAATGAGCAGAGCACAAACATGGTTGCTGTTTCTAGCCTCCGAGGTAGCCTTCCTCCGCAAATTGAGTTTCTAAACTGTAGTGTGGACCACGCAGTTCTTTTAAACCTGACCTGGTTTCTTTTGTATAGCTCTAATAAGTCCTGCCGTACTGTACCGACAGGGAAGATAAAAGATGCAAACTAACCCAGGGACTTCTACCACTTGAATGTCATCCATTACCTGCAGTACTCATTCTGCAAAGCACAGCAAAGCAGTTGTTTCAGTTCCTAATTTACATTTGTTTGGTAGCAGGCAGTTATTCCAGTCTGCATGGTGAGTGTGGCTGGCTGCCTCAGTGAGTTGCAATTAGGGCCAGGGAGCTGAGAAAGCAGTGTTTAAATTACAGTCAAATTAGAAGGTATCCACATGATCATTATTATGATTTCAAATGCATGCATCCAGAAGGATGGCAGCTCAGCAAGAACAGCCTGCACTATACAGTGAAGCAGAAACTTTCCAAGACAATACCAGAACACAGTTGAATCGCCGCTCTAATGCCCAAAAAGGCAATAGCTCGGTGAATTTTAAGCTTACTGTCTCTCTGTGCTCACGTGCATCAAGTATAGTTTCTTTTATACATTATAACAGAATCTGCATTAATTTTCAGGGACATTTTAAGTCCAGGATCTTTAAATGTAACTGAATTTAGTCAGAGATTAGTTTTCAAACTAACGAACTTTGAGACACTTCTGATTACCTTTCTTGCAGCACAGCAACAACAAAGTCTGCTTTCTCATGACCTTTTCTGTGTCTGTTCTTCCCATCTTGCTCACTAACAAGCATATTGTGGTGTTTGAGATACATCACATTTCCAGAAAAACAATCAAGTGGTTAAACACTGACCTATCACTGATTAAATGGCAAGTCTGGTTTAGTCTGTGTTGCTAAAGGAATTACTCATAGATCACAGAGCATTGCTGAAAACAACTGAGAATCATCACCTGCCAATATCTAGGTGACAAGAAAATTAGGTCATCATGTTTCAACTCTCTAGCCACTAGAGTTGGCACTCGTTCAAAGTGGAGACAAGTTTTGGGCGGTTGTACAAACACAGATGGTCTGCTGTTATTTATAGTGGATGCTGTACCTGTCCTGCCGACAAGACTCAGTACGAAGGGCTGACGGGCAGGAATCTTTCACCAGCCCCCCCAGTCACACACGAAGCGCAAAGAAACATAACCTTTGCTAGGAAACTGAGGAACCCAGACAGATAGCGTAACTGGGTATAGGACCTTGGAACTGGTTTTCCTGTTCTAATGCTCCTCTCTTCTATAGATAGCTTTACTGTGACACGTTCCTCCCAAGGTAAGTTGTAAGAAAAAGTGTCCTGAAATAACAGAGACCTCTGGTAGAATGGCAAATCTGTATAAATTGTAAATGTTAAAACAAGGCGGAAAATCTACCCCTAATTCATATTTGGTAATTTCTGAAAAGGAATTTACTATTTTTAACAACATATAAAAATAAAATTATTCCATCTAAATCACAAAAAAACTCTTCTAGAATCTGAGTTATCTAAATCCTCCAAGCACATTATTTTAACATGACAAAAGAGTATCTGAATCCCAAAACAACATTTTTATTTGTGTTTTAATAATGCTTCATTCATTGATTTACCTTTTTAATAAAATAAAGCTTTGCCTTCGTGCCGCCAACTTCAAGGCAAGCAGCAGATGATTCTGACAAGTAAAGCTGAGGAAATTTAAAGGGAAGATTAAGTGTGTGTAATGGAAATACTGAATGGAGAATCCAAATATTACACAGTGATCTGGTAACATCTTCAGAAACATGTTCTGTGTTTGTATATCTGCTAAATGGATGCAGAATCCAATCTGATATATTCAACTGAAAAACAAACGGCCTAAAGACATGTTTGCATGGGAGCGTGCAAGATATTTGTGTCTTAATGTCAAGAAGACGAAGATACTGGGAATCAGGGCCCACATCTTGTAAGTTTAGAGGCAGAATTATGGGTCGACATTTGTTGTTCCAAACCCACACATGGCTGAAATTCAACTGTAATTTCCAGCATTTTTTTACCAGCAGGAATTAAGTTACAGGAGTCTGAACCACTAAAACTGGACTGGATCACAGAATCATGGAATAGTTTGGGTTGGAAGGGACCTCTAAAGGTCATCCAGTCCAACCCCCCTGCCGTGGGCAGGGACATCTTCAACTAAATATGGATGACAGGTTACATTCCAGCTCTGATCCTTCCCTCAGCATTTGCAAAAAGCTTTCAATTCCCTTTAGAGGAAAGGTGTTGCAGTAACAGAAAATGTGATGTATTCACTTAGTTTTCAGTATTAGCTTCCTTAGGAGGCACTTCTCCAGTGGATGATGGGTATCTCTCAGTTGTTTTCAAATCCTCTGTACCTGAACATTGATGCCATTACTTACGGGTTTAGATTATAAACAATGCAGTCATCTTGAGCTCATTTCCAGAAAAGAGCAGCAAACTTCTTCCTTTGTTTCTTCAGCCTAAGGGCAGGAAAAGTTCACAAGGAATTAAAAGCTTGGTGAATTTTACATTTTGCAGTTTTTAATCTAAGAGCAAAATGCGGAAAGGAAATCAGTAATTCAGATAGAAAGCTACTTGCTACAAATAATGAACTTAAGTAAATCTGTTCTCTAATTAACTACCATATTTCACTAATGGGAGGGAGATTACAAAGGTGGCAGGACTTAAATAATGACAACAGGAATTCATCATAAAATGGAAAACTTGCAATCGTTTAGATTTGCTTTACTTTTTAAACTCACAGTTTCCTGATTGGAAATGACCCATTTCATTGTCTTTTCCTGGGTTTATTGCCTGTATACACTCACCCTGAGCAACAAGGACTTAATAAACTCTGCATGTTCCTCTGCACTGGAACTACAGATACCTCTCTCACCTCTGTGGTCAAATGTGTATGAATTTGTAAAGGAAATTGGGGAGGTTGTCATAATAGCTCACATTTTTGGACTAATTATTTTCCCAGGCAGTTGCCAATACATAATACTTCAAAGGAAATGATGGGGCACAAAACCAAACTACAATGTGCAGTCACTAACATAATACAGCACAGCCCATGAAATTCTTTCACAGTACTGTCAGGCAGTCAACATCTGTCCTGAAAGTGTGGAAAGTTGAAGCTTTGATCTTTACATGAAGAACTCCTTTGGCAGAAGTGGTTACAATCATCTAACTGTAATTTGTCAAGAATATGCAAGAGGATGTACCTGCAAAGTAATATGTATGAGGAGCTCCAGCTAAGCCCAGAGAAGAAATTTCTACCCCTATGAAATAAATTCACTTCTTTGAAATTTGTACTGATGTTCTGCTAATGGATAATTTTCAGTCACAGGTAATTCTTAGCTAATGGTGCCTTTGTAGCGCTGCAAATGTTGATGTAAGTCCCAAGAACCACAGGAAAACCCCAATAATTGTAATCTTTTTGTCTAGGTTGGCCTCTTAGATAGACAAAAAATACTTGCCCTACTGGTAGACTTCTATGACAGAAGCCCTGTGATTGCTAAGAGGGGATTCTGTAACCCAAGACAGTGTAAGTATACGGGATGTTTCAATTGTGGTTAAAACGTTAGGAGGTCGCATGAGGTCGTATAGTTAATATATATTTTATAAGTGTTACCAGAAATGGACAGAGCCTAAAAAAGGACCCAAATGAATGCTGTGACCTCTACACCATAATTTGCAAACATCTTTTGCAAACTGTGATGCAATGTTCAGAGATACTTCAGCATCCAAAACTTTCCTTTCCTACAAAATTCTGAAGTACTTTTTGGAAGTAGGATTAAAGAAAGGCTACTTTTCCTGAAACAATTGTTCTTGCTTACTGGGCAATATTAGAAGTTAATTTTGTGTTTACACTAAAATTTCTCCAGGAACATGGAAGGATAAAGAAAAAACACAGAATCATCTACATGAAAGTAAAATATTTTTAAGATATTGGACATTAATTAATTTCTAAGATCAAATGCAAGGCAAATTACAGCTTTCCTTCTTAGTCTGGAGAATTATGAAACATTTATTTCAAAAGAAATATGGTGTAATACACAATAACAAGTGCAGTTCTCTGCAGGCAAAGACATTATTCTGAAGTTTTGTGTTTCTGAGACGCGTGTTTGCAGAAGGTACTTTCTGATAGTTTATATTTGCTTGGGAATACCTTTTTTCTTTTTCTTTAAATTTTCTTGTGCAATACTAGAGAACGTAAAACCAATGCAAACTATCAACTTATCAATATTTTTTCTACTTTAGGGCCAATAATGGAGCTGCAAGAGATTGAGCTTGCGGATTTATGGGGAGGCCTTGATGACCAGGAAGCTTGTGAGGAATTCAGTGAAAAGTTAGTCTTGTCTCAAACAGGAATTTCTGAGGGAGAGATTTTAGCATATGAACCTGTAGGTGATAATAGACAAGGCACTTATAGAACGAGAACTAGCGTCAGAGAAGGTCTTTTTGAACAAATGGGCATGAGTGAAGCTGAGACTGGAGGAATTTCTAAGGGAGAAAACCAAGCAGCAGAATCAAGTGATGCTGAAGCGAGAAAGGAAGGTGAGGACGCTGTGTCAGCGGTGAAAAGCACTGATTTCAAAGCTAGTGATTTGGATGGAGATACAATACATTGTGAGAAATCCAGTTTCCATGAAGACATCAAAACTGAGAGGCAAGCTGAGCCTGCAAGTGCAGACGAACAGGAGGAAGCTTTCCCAGGATCAGCCTCTACTGGGTACAGTCTCAGTAGAGGTGGAGAACCTGGCTCTGAAGAACAGGTGGAGGAAGAGGAATTTAGCCCGGGTAGAGAGCCTGATACAGAAACAAATAGAGAAGAAGATTACCATATCTCAGACAGAGAACCTGGCTCAGAAGGGCAAGTTAGTCAGGAGAAGGACAACTGGATTGCAGAGGCAACCATTACAATTTCAGGACCAACACCTGAAGCTACAACCATGACCTCAGAAGACAGAGCTGTGGCAGACATGGACATCATTGCTTCAAAACAGGATGCTCCAGTTGCAGAGGTTGTGAAAGAAACTCCTGCAAGAAAAGAGAGTTTTTCTACGCAGCACGGCAGCCAGGTTGGCCAACAGACAAGCTCAGAGACAAGACTGCAGGATAAGGACCTTCTGCAAGACCAAGATAAAGGTAAAGCATTCTCCTTTATTCTGGTAGACCTTAATCTTTTTCAACATATACATTTGGACTGGTTTAACTCTAGGTGTGTTTTTAATCCATTTCAAAACTACCGAAAGCATGTGAGTGATTTCTGAATACACAAGACAGTAAGCTTTGGTATCTTCTCAGTATGGTGTTTTCTGCCGAGGTTTCAGAGTGTGTTCCTCTCACAGGACGGCAGGTGAGTCACTTTGCTGGTGATCTGTATTCAAGGCACTGAGCAGACACTTTAATTCAAGTAGGAACTTTCTGAAGCAGCAGCATTTTTATAACAAGGAGAAACTTTATGTTCTGTTTCACTCTGTAATATTAGTAGCAAGACAGGAGCCTGAGCACGTTAAATATAGAAATGACTTTTAATAATTTTTAGACTGTGATTGCCCACAGGGAGATATATTATGGGATCATATATCAGGAACCTTTTATTTTATCTCTCGCTGTGTTTCCAAAGGAATATCATACTTAATTGTGTACAAAGGCCCTTGTTCTAGGAAGGCTGTGGTCGCGCAACTGTGTGTTTCATAAGAGGTACTTTCTTAAGCATACTAGAAGGACCAACTTCCTTGCTAGGGCTCTGTGAATACACTGTCGTTTCTCACAGTTTAAAACACTGCAAGAACTGGGTCTACATTGCCAGAGCAGTCTAGTGACAGACTTACTACGTAAAGGGCTGTAAAGCTGATGGTACAGCCCACTGGTACCTACAGCTTTCTGTGGTTAACTTCCAGCACACAGCACTAACCTGTCATCCAGCCAGTCCCTGGATGCGCACATCCCGCATTGTTTGGGGCATGCAGTACTTCCATCTTCAGAGCAGATTCCCACCCTGTTCTTGCAGAAACGATGGCGTGATGATACGATACTCTGAGAGAAAGGTGGATGGAAACAAGAAGTCTGAATATAATTTTGAACCTATCTTGGAAAAAAGTTACCTTATTGCTTTTGCTAAAATGGATGTTTGTAGCTGGGCTTAAGAAAAGTAACATTCACCAGGTGAATTTCAGGAAGCAATATTTCCAGACAGTAAAAATAAATAACTACTGATAACAAGGGTAACTCCAGAGACACAGAGGTAGATTTTAGATATTAATCAGCAGGGTGCTCAGACTAGTAAGCTCTGGTTCACGGAAGATTTCTTTTTAAAATTGCAGGTCCAGCACACTCAGACAGACAGGATTCTCCAGCTGAAGCTAGCCAGGAGTTTGAAGTGCCATGGCCAGGTGACTGCTCATGTCAGCTCTTTTCATCTGCTTTGGAAACTATAGCTTGGATATATGTATTTAAAGGCTTCTATAAAAGTTCTATCTTGTGTCTTTTTTAAGAGCTTATCTCATTACAAGGTATATTTTACCTTTCATCAGGTGACCTTCTGACTTCTGACCTAAGTTGCAGGTATAGCAGCTACGGAGAGAGAATTCCAGAGGACTGGAATTGTGAAAACACTAGATTTCCAGGTATTTGGTCACAAAGCTCTGTGTTCACTTGGGCACATAGTGGCTGGCAGTGTCTGCAGACACGCCGGTACTGCTATGAGCTGAAAGTTTTGGCGAGAATACAAATACTAACTCCTGAAGCTGACTTCAAGATAAGAGCAGTGTAGTCTTTGTCTCAGAAGGCCACTTGCTGTGTAACAGTAATTTCAGCTCACCTGTATTCAGTGACTTGACCTGGCTGTGTGATAGCATCCATGCTAGACTGGAGCATAAATCTGAAGAGATACTATTGGAAAAGTGTAGGCAGATTAAGGCCTTTAGTCAGCACGGAGTCAGTCCGTCTTCAGCCATGATTTCACTGGATAGGAAGTGCAGGATTCAGGACTGTGTTGATAGCTGCCACGTGGCCAGCATTAGGGCAGCATTTGGCTTCCTGCGACATACTGTGCTTTCTGCCTTTCAGACTTACGTCCCATCATGGCAGAGATTCAGAACCGTTGGGCTTCTCGTACTAGGAGTGCCTTTGATGAAAGCTGTCTCAACCTGCCACAGTTTGTACAGCTCATGGAGACATTTGTTGGTGAAGACATTTCTCTGCCTACTGTGAAGAGGCTTATTGCATTTATCAAAGAAGAATACAAACAGACAGAAGAGGAAAAAATGGAACAACTAGAAAAAGTAAATATTGATAAGTTTTGCTGATCCCATGCCCAAACAAAAAACAAGCAAATGCCTACAGACACTGATAAAGTCAACTTTTAATCTCATGCTGGCAGAGCTATTCACTTGCAGCCTTCCATTCTCTGTTTCTTCAAGAGACCTTTTACCCCTTTGTTTTCATAAGGACCTTCCCTCCCTAGCCCTTAGCTCTAGAAGTGATGACAGACTCATCCTGTAAGAGGTTGTCTGTGTGTTCTAGAGCTGGACTCAGTGAGACAGCAGGTTGATAGTCAATTGTGAAGGAGCTCAAAACATTCCATTCTGCTTATTCACCTCTATAATAGCCAAGAACCTGATCTCTGACCTACTGCACTGGCATGTACATATGAGGTTGTGGATGTTTTGGGGAGGATTTCAAAACAAGTGTGTCTGGTTTTGCTATGTGCATGGCTGTATGTGAATGTGCACCTGCTTCTTTGTGTTTAAGTTACAAGGTGCTCTTGCCATGTGTTGAAAAAAATATATTCCCCTTCAGCAATATCCTCATGCACATCATCAGGGTGCCCCATATGACTTCAGAGTACAGATATATTTCGTGGTGGGTCTCTCCATAGTAGCCTCTCTAGCTGCATTTTCCTCAGACCTCTTTCTAGTTTCTCTCTGTGCTGCTGACCTAATTTGGATGAGATATTGGCTCTGACGGCTCTACTGTCCTGACACTGAACACAACACACACTGCCAGTATTTTGGCCTTTGAGAGAATTCCACTCCAGCCATTTATCACTGTATGCTGTGCAAAGACTGGCTTTAAAGGACAAATTGTACATGCATTTGCTTGGAGCCCACACACTTCAGGGCAGCACCAGCAAAATAACAATGTACAGAAATACAAACTGTCAAAACTTTGGTGTTACTAACAAGGCTGTGGTTAGTTCTTGCTAGGAAGACATTTGTATTCTGGGAAACTTCCACTAACCTGAGCTGATCTCACCTTAGATCCAGCATGCGCTTCATTTCTTCACTGGGAAATAACCCTCTGCAGTGCTGATTCTGCCTGGTAAAACTGAACTGTCGGCTGTGTTTAGTGTTTCCAAATATCTCCCAGGTTTAATGATTCATCTCCAGGTCTGAGCTGTGTATGTACGGATTTGGCCTGGCCCATAGGAATTATGTGATCAGCATACCACTGCAGTTTCCATACTTGCCCAGACACTGAGCATCAGTGTCCAGGAATCATCAAAGACCCGCTGTTCCTCTGTTGTAGGTTCACCACATCTCTCGCTTGGCCCAACGGAAACTGCTGCTGGAGGCACTTTTCGAAAAGTGGGACGACAATGCATCCGGGTTTCTGGACCTGGAAGAGGTGGATGCTGTTCTAAGCACATTCAAGGAAGGGATGGAAAAAGAGGCCTTGAGGAAGGGTAAGGAGTCGGGTTTGCTCTGAGAGAACAATGTCAACACAGTAGGCCTTGAACTATTCAATGACAGCGCTAATGAAGTTGTTGGCAAGCATCAGTCATTTTTTGTTTTTACAAGCAGTCATAAGCACACAAGGTATGACGGATAAAATGAAAAGGAACAGTTATCCAGACCTACTTGTTAATGCATAGCTCCATCCCCTCCTCCTGTGCGAGACTCCCCTGCGACAGATTCCCTGTCAGAGAGGTAGCCCAATGCTTTCATGACATTGTGATGTGTTGAAAAATTATTTCAGCTGTAACATGCAATGTATACTTGTGATATGGCAGTGAAAAACACACATGAAACCTGAGGACACGTTTCGCGCTTTTACTCTAGCCTGTCTGTGTTATCCAGCTATTTTTAATAGATACATTTTACTCCGCTATCTGCAGGAACATACCTCATAGGAAAGAACACCAGCTTTCCTTATGGGTCTCAAATGGCCTTTAGTAATCCACACTCTTGCACAGCTCTCATGAATTAGATAGCAACTTCTCTGTTGGTTCACTTCTCCAAATAAACTTAGCAAATTTGGTCCCTGACAGAATAGACTTGGGTCAGACAGAAGTGCTTCACCTGGACCTGACTGGCAGCCTCATACGTATGAACATGTGGGCATTAGGCGCTCTGAAATACTGTATTAGCAATTAAGAATGTGTCTGCATGTGCACTTGGGTGGAGAGGACTGGTTTATTAATCTCCACGCATATCTTCATGTTGCTTGTTCGCCATACATTACTGAAAATGGCTCATTTTGGCAACAACCAAAATCTCTTTAATCTTTAGCTCACTTGAGGCAGCTGGTGGGGTGGGGAGTGCGCTGGCATGCTACAGTTAATTGTCTCCAGGTTGCACAGCCACAGAAGAAATTGGCAGTTTACAGCTGTCTTGTGTGCAAAGCATGCCAGAACACACTACAGAAATATGGAAGGACATAGTCCTTTCCATGAAGGGCTCATAAACTAAAGGACAAATAAATAGAAAGATAGCATAGCAAAATCAATACCACCTACAAGCAACATAAAACTGTATTTCTAGCAGCTTCAGTCTAAACTCTCAAAGACATCGCGGAACAAGAAGGTTTGGGGGAAGGGTTCACAGACATTGCACGCCTCTTGGATGAAAACACAGAGTGAAAAGTGGGTAGAATTATTTGATTTTCCTTGTAAGTGAAAAGCGTAACGTTACACATATAATGGGGAAAATAATTCATTATGCTGTGGCTCAGTAATGAAGGCACTGATCATGCCATGTTCTACTTCATGTGTATTTCTTTTTTCATCTCTTTCTTCAAAGAGAGGAAAAAGTGGAGGTGAAAATCCAAACATTTTTATACCATCAAAAAATTCTCCATCCTACTTCTGTCAGAAAATCAGAAATTAAATTAAAAACTACTGAATGTTCTTTAGATGATGGGCAGGGTAAGACAGCATTAACAGTCAGCTCCACCATGATTGGGGCCCATTAGTACTTGCTAACTTCTATAGCTAAAATCAGTGATAAAATGCCCCCTGACTTCTGTGGGGGAAGGAGGGGGCTCTCAGCTCCCATAAACATCAGTGTCTTGGGTGCACTGGGAGGCAATCAGGGCAGCTCCCTGCCTGTTCCATCATTAATCAAAGCGTTTTCTATTACACTGTTCCTTATAGCCCATTGTACGTATTGATCACAAAATACTCCTTGCTTAACAGCCAAGTCACGCTTCTACCTATAAATCTTTCTTGCTTAGTTTGCTCGTAGGAAGCGGCTTGACGTATAGCTCTCTTGCCTTTTCTTTACTTCTTCGGGTCCAACAGGATTTGAAATCAGGATGCAGGAAAAAAAAAAAAATGATGAAAGTGTTAGTCACGGCAGCGCTCAGGAGAGGCACGGCCAGGAGCGTGGCCGGGCAAGCAGAGCTTGGGCAGAGCCCCCGGTGAATCCCGGGTTGCCAAAGCCGGGAAGCCGCCTGCCGCAGCGCCAGGCTGTGCAAGAGCACCCCCGTGAGCCCGGAGCTGGGCTGCGGGGAGCAGCGGCAGCGGGTCCTGGAAGAACTGGAACGGGGGTGGAACTGCTCTGTTAGACGGGCTGCTGATTTAGGTAACATCTGAATAGAAACCCATGGGGTAAATTTACATTTCCATGCTCAGTCTGTTAGGATTACAAGTCTAAGGTGAGTCCCATTTGTCTTCAGGACCTCTGGGCAAACTGGCAGTTTGTGAACTAGAGTAGATACAGGAAAGCTATTCTCGAGAATCACAATTTGACCTTTGTGGCATTCCTCATTCCTCCTTCCTCCAAGCAAAAGGAAACTCTGCCAGAGGTTTCTGCTGCAGCTTATTTGCCCGTATTTGGGCCGACTCGGCTGCAATCTCTGGGACATGAAAAAGGGGAGTGGGGCACGGCTCCACTGCCCAGCTTTGTGCAAGATGGGAATGAGCAGCCTCCGTGCGGTGATCTTTACTCCTTCACTCCCCTGAGAGCTAACAGGCAGCACTTCACTGTTTTAGATGTTTTTCATACCGATTTATTCTTCTAAACCCTGTATTTCTTATAAAAGCTCTCTTGCTCCTTTTGCTCCACATCTACACCCCTTGGTGCAGTACAGGTGATTCCAGAGCACTGTTGTCCCGACCTCTGTACGATTTCAATAGAGCTTTCGTTTTCTTTGCTCTTCATTTATGACATTTAGCACAATACCAATGTTATTTCAATAATTCATCAAAGGCACCTAAAGAAGGGTAATTAAGAATGATAGCTACTTTGGAAGGCCTCAAAAGAAAAATATGGTGTCTGCAAGTACGGTATATAATGGAAAATCCAGGAATATGAGTGATCTGTGAAATCATCTGTAGACTCTGGCCTTCACATTTTTAATGGGATTGGTGAATAGTTTTTCCGTAAGGTCTCAACTACTATTACTGTATGCAGAATGCCTACTTGCAGCCCAGTCCCACCAGCCCCTCAAGCGTCCATAAAATTTGGTTCTGATGTGAAGGTACCTCTGATTTTCGATAACTCCAAGCAGCTTTCCTATTTTCCATTGACCTTTATTGTTTAGGTATGTTGCAGACTTATAAAAGGGGCACAGGAGCAATGCCTTGCAGGTTTCTTTCTCAGTAGGTGAGAAAGCAGGCATCTAGAGGAAAAGGTGCATCCAGTCTGGAAGCTGGAGATTGCCTGTCATGATGACAACTTACATTTAGGAGATAGCTCAAAGAAACCCAGAATGATGGACTGGAGCACTCCACCCAAAGCCAGTTTAGAGCTTGATTCATATTTTGCACAAGAAAAGCAGAACATTTCATTCAAATAGACTGTCTCTGTCTTATTTTCTGTTTTCTCTACTAGCAAAGAAACACCTTTGCTCCCGTTACCCACAGCTCAGCAGAGTGGGGAAGCTATCCCCAAAGGCATTCCAGACTTTCCTTGAGTTAGTTGCTTCTGAGTTCACCGGCGATGTGGATGAAGCTATTGATAACTTGGTGGAATTTCTGACCACAAGTGTGGAACGAAGTCGCATGAAGTGCTTGCAAAGCTTAACCAGGAGGAAATGGCTGCACAATATCCAGCAAGCAGCTGAGACCAGCGGAGCAAGCATGGAACCGGTTTACAAAGCCGTGTTTAAGGCCCTCTCCCAGGTACGCATCCCGGGGAGCACAAGAATCGTTTGTGTTGGGATTGTGACACTGACTTCAACCCCTGGTGCATTTGAGTGGAACTCACAGGTACCATGGGAAGCTGGTCCGAGGCTGGTTTCCTTGTGCTATTCTGCACTTAGCTGATGCTCAGGGGAGCCCATGGTTACGCACAGAACGAGTCACAGGTCAGATCTGCAATACAAGAATTCTCGTCCATGCTCTGCCAATACAGAATGCATTTCATGGATACTTATGTCTCACTTTTTGAAGAGCTGACTCGGATCAAATTTGGAAATCCATAGTTCTAGTTTTAGAGCTTCTGAAATGAAACACACCAGACTCAGTTTGGGACAAAGATGGTTAATTTGTAGTGGAGATACAGTTTAATTTTTAACTTGCAGCTGCAACTTTAGATGTGTGTCCTCACCATTAAAGCCGTCCTCAAAGCAAAACTTCTCTCATAGTAGCTGAAGTGTTCTTACAATATTTAGGTTTGTAAATGTAGCAACTCTGGCACTTGTTTGTCTGATTTTTCCAAAGGAATCTCCTATTGAGGAAGAAAACCATGGGAGTTTTGCTTAGGCACAGCTTATAATTAGGGTTTATTTTTATATGAACTGCTCCCCATTAGCAGCAGGAAAAAAGAAATCCATTTTCCTTGCCAATCAAAACACGAAGTGGTTTTGCTTGTAACAGAGCGTACCCGTCAGACACGATCACAGCACAGACACATACATGTCATGCAGTTGGTGCATGACATATAAAATCAGTGACCCAGAACAGCATCTCAGCAAAAAATGAGACAAGTGCTAAGTACATGAAATAAGTGTAATAGCCAATGGCTAATGTACATAATGTAATGGGAAACATTTGGTTGCTAGGATGCAGAGGCCCACGGGGATAACAAGAAGATCAGTGCATATATTGCCCTTTTGGAAGAGAACCAGCTCTCACCAGAGCGGGGACAGATTCTCCTACACTATGTGGCATGTACCACAGATGATGCTCCATATGTTCTAAACCAGATACTTTACAAAGACATGAAAGGAGTAAGGTAAGAAAAGCTGCGAATAACTGTTCCTTTTTCTCAAAAATATTTGGAATGTAGGGGTACCAGGCAGTGGTTTGGGGTGCACTGGAAACAGAGGCCGATAGAGTACTCCAGAGAGGAAATCTACTCAGGGACCGTTGTGGAATGATTCATTATCCTATACGTGCCCTTATACTTTGCATGGTCTACTTAGAAGTGCTCTGTTCGAGATTTCACTCCTTTCCTTGGGGAGATTAGCTCACAGTCTAATAAATCTCATCCTTTAGCAAAAGTCTATTATATTGGGCCTACATCTTCTTTAAAAATTAATTCCCTTATACCAGTTTACATCCACAGGCTATTTTTTGAGAACAATGCCTTTTCTTCCGTAGTGTTTACACTATAAACAGCTTTCATGCTGCTTTACTTCTCGTTTCCAAAAGCTAGACATGTTTGTCTCTTTCTTTAAATATTGCTTCTTCTAACCTATTAAATGTAACTGCTGCTCGCTTCTGTGTTCCCTTTCATTACATTCATTAGTTGATGTTTTTAAAATGTCCTAAGGATGAAAAGTGCCTTATTTATTACCACTGTCTTTGGGATGCAAGTGGTAAATGTGGTATTTCTGGGTGTGGTCAGAAAAGGGAGCTAACACCTTCCTTCTCTGATGCCAAAAAGCAGGGAGAGATCAAAGCTGCAGTATTTATTGCTTTGCTAAAGGTTTTCTGCTACTCTGAACAAACCTTCTCATAAGTTTATTTTGCAGCTTTGCAGCTGTTGAAGAGGGAAAGCCGATCCATATTCCAAGAGTTCAGCTCCACAGAAATATCCACTTCTGGAACTACGACCGCCCAGTGGAGGAGAGAAGAGGTTCGCTCCTGGTACTGCCATTGCACGATGCTCGCTGGAGAGTCTTTGGCATTCTAGGACTTGACACTCTTCGGGACCAGTGTGAGAAAACCATCTTTCTGACCCATGAGATCAGTTTCTATCAGGTGGGCACCATCAGAAAGCAGTTTGTTAGACCACTCTTCTGAGCTTCTCCTGACTAGTAAATTAATTGCACTTTTGTGCAAAGCCCAAAGATAGCAGCTTTTATTTCCTGAAGCTCTGAACCTCATATTTGTGTTTATTTCCATAAAGTGGCATGAAACCTTACTTTTTACATGGTGGACTAATTATAAGCAACAGCAGTCCGGCTTTCTTTGGGATGCTCTTTAGAATCAGCCTCATTGTGGATGCATCATCTGGGCAGCAGGGAGCGCAGCAAGCCAACATTACCAGTCAATTTGGCTATCTCCACTAAAAAACAACTTTGTCTGGTTTAGAACTTGGCTGTGACCCGGGTACCCTGGAGCTTTAGAGCGTTATTTGATAAGGGACGTTTCACAGTCACTTTTCAGCTTTACAAGTTCTGATTAAAGTAACTTGTTATAACCATTTTCCTTCGTTTTGCTGCATGAAAGTTTCCCCAGCTTTTTCCCCAAATCGTATGGAACTGTCTGGCTCATTTGGAGGATTCTGCTTTCACAGGGAGTTTCTCAGGCGTTCAGCAAAGCCTACCACCATGTCTGCAGACTGGAAAATATTCTACAAATGGCTGTTACTGCTCTGGACTGGTTGTATCCCAGGGCACCCAGCGTCCACACTGTTATTACATACCTGGTGGAGCCTGGCAAAGACAAGGTACATGGATTACTGCAGTGAAAAGGCCTGTAATAGTCAGGGGCTGACAAGGCTGTTTTAGTGAGGACCTGCCATTTCTAGCTGCCTGCAATTTCCCAGTGGTTTTATCATAAAAAATAAAGCCTGCCTGAGATTCTTGTGCCTGTGCAACAAAAGGGCTACAAAGGTAGAGAGGGAAGGTTCCCTCTGTAAAGGAGGCCACTCTTCATTCTCTTCATCCTCCCATGTAAAACAGTTCAAGAGCACTGCAAGTATAACCCCTTCTCCATGGGAAAAAGGAATATTCTCCTACTTCGGAGATGCTCTTCTGTCCCAGTGGTTTTATCATAAAAAATGAAGCCTGCCTGAGATTCTTGTGCCTGTGCAACAAAAGGGCTACAAAGGTAGAGAGGGAAGGTTCCCTCTGTAAAGGAGGCCACTCTTCATTCTCTTCATCCTCCCATGTAAAACAGTTCAAGAGCACTGCCAGTATAACCCCTTCTCCATGGGAAAAAGGAATATTCTCCTACTTCAATGTTCACGGCTGCGTAGCAACCAATAGAGCAAAACCCCACACCTACCCATCCATCCATCCGTAGGTTAGCCAACACTGCAAGTCCCTGCTAAAGCTTTGCTGTTTGGGACCTCCAGAAAAGGAGATGCTCTTCTGTGGAGATGCTCTTCTGTGGAGATTCTGTGCATGTCAAAATTATGGTATTTTATAGGAAAAACACCCATCCTAGCTAATGTATTAGCTCGTCATTCTGAACTAATGTCAGCAGCCAAGATGTAAATACAACTCAAGGGTGGCTGCTCCCCATTAGTTAGCTTGTGAAGGCAGCCCCCCTCCCTGCAGATCGTATTCCAGTTGTTGAGCAGGCACTGGGGCCCTGGGAAGCTTGTCACTTAACATACAAGCGAGTTAAGAAGACGAAGAGTGTATGCAATATTTAGGACTGATCCTGTGTCATCACAAAGTCTGTATGACATCTGCTGTAGCCATAATTCAGCTGCTTCCTCCGATAAGCATGGTTTATTTTGGCAGCTTTCTGTTGTCATTCCAGGCTCTGCTCTGTTCCCTTGTTAGCTGCCTGATAGCCAGGTCATTTACTCCCCTCTGTGCTTTTCACGTGTCAAGGCGCACTGACACAAACATGACATGAGAAAGAGGACTGCAAGGGGATGGGAAAAAGAAGGGAAACCTCTTCTTGGCCTGTGGGTGTTCGTCAGTGTGGAGCCTGGGGATGGATTAAATAGTCTGGCTGAGGGAGGTCCAGGGCACATTCTTCATGCATCTTGAGCAATGCACTCCGGGAATAAAACCAAGCATTGTTGGGAGATGTCTTTAAACCATCCCATTGCACTTGAATGTACATAGGAGTTTCCTTTAAGAAATAAACAATTTCCTCCCTCTCCAAGCTTCAAAATGGCTGTTCTTTTCTTGGATGCAGCTAAACCCTCCCTTTTCTCTCTGGCAGACATGTGACTACGCTCTGCGCAAGGTGATTACTACAGATAATACAGGACAAAAAGAAATCCATAGCTCTCCTGTTCTTCTCCTCAGAAAAGAAAACCTCTTAAGGTAGGCTCCAGCACCTGCAATTGAACTAGTTACCTCTGGTCCTAGACTCTAGCCTGCATCAGGCATGATCCACGTTACATTTAGCCCATGGTGACGCAACCCTGCAAGAGTGTCTGGCTGTGGCTTTCTCACTATCAAGGCTTCTGGTGCATATGCATGTGATACTGAATTACGAAGGCGTGAGGAGTATTTTCTCTTTGAGTTTAGACCTGCAAAAACTTAACCTCCAACTTAACGCTCACCAGCTGAGCTGCCAAGCAAGCTCTACATCTGCTGTGAAAAGTTTGCAGGATTAGAGCCTACACTGAAGCATTTTGCTCTTTAGAATAATCTGTCTTTTTTTCCTGACCATGTTAGTCTTATTTCCTTCTGTTTCCTTCCACTGCCAAGATCCTCACACACTTGTCTTTTAAGCATTATCATCCTTGTTGTCAAAGTTGGTTGAACACCCATTTGCTGTTCCAGCAGATGTTTTTACTTTTTATAAAACTCTATAGAACAAATGTCAACGTGGTTATAAACAGGAAACTGTTTTTAAAGCAAGACTACAACCTAATTTGGGTTTGTTAAATTCTTATGATTTTCAGCAGTTGCCTTGGCTAAGCAATATTGTGTTCCACAATGCTATTTTCTCCTTTCTGTATATGGCTTGAATTATACTTAAAGCTGTGCATATTTCAGTTCAAGGAAATAAACAATGATTTAGTAATGTAATAATACCTTTGTTTTAACAACAAGAGATGAATGGCATCTTACTAAAATATGCTAAATAAATTACCAAAAGAAACCAGAATGGTAAAGTCTAGTACATTTTCCTCTACTCTCATTTCAGAGTTTACCTATTTAAGTGCATAGACAGTTCAGGGGTCATGCGCACTTCTGTCTGTGGAGAATACCACATTGCAGTACCTCTCCGTGACCTATCAGGACAAGCTCTTGGGATATTTGATATCAGCATCGGACACCGCCAGAAATTACCACCTCATGAACACAAAGACCTGCAGAAAATGCTAAAGATGGCCCAAGCTGCCTGCTCTGAGATACTGAAGATGTCTTTAGAGGAAACAGAACCAACCTATGTACTGGGTATTGTGCATACAGAGCCAAGATAGGTTTTTTAGGGGTGAAATTAGGAATCTCAGTAAAACCGCATCTAAAGTATCATTCCTACAAGTATGGAAAGACAAATACAAACCTTTGCTACATATAAACTACTCCTGAGCAAGCCTAAGTGCTCAGCAGAGTACAGTTAAACAGAATGTTTAGATTTTGACTCTTGTTCACAGGATATTTTATACCCAATTCCCACTGAAATCAAAGGTGTAAAGCAAGGTGCTTTGTTGTATCAGGGATCTCGCATGTCCTCCTCAGAACTGCCCCAACTAAGATCAAAAGAATTTGAATGTCACAGTTCCAGAATTACCTGCATGCCTGAACCCTTCATGGTCTCAGGACCTCTGCTTGCCCCTGAGGCAAGTTTTGTCTCCTTCTCAAGCACATACCCATTTTTAAAAGTTTCATAGGAAACTTGGGCTGTACACTAATCAATCACTCAGTCAAGGAGACAAAGAGTTAATCATAAAGAGAGCGGAGCTTTTCAGTCAATAACATAAAGTCCTGAGTAGCAGTTGTTTCTGAGAAACTTCTTGAAAGGTTTGCTTTTGATTCCAGAGGCAGAACACGTGGCGAATTTGAGGCATGCAGGGATTCTGTTCCACCAGTTCATGCTGCAGGACCTGCGTGAGTGTGTCCAGAAACTCGATGCTGAGAGCTTTGCTGAAATAAAGAGCTATGCAGAACCGCCAGCTCTGGTACATAACATAGTTAAGGCTGTGCTGTTGCTTTTCCATCCAAACTGGAAGGGCTCAGAGAAGACTGAGAACTGGAGTCAGTGTATACTGGTGAGACTTCAAAATATTTAAACTTTGTTTCCTGTTATTCCTCCCCCAAGAAGATATAGTGGAATTTGCCAAGTGTGAATTGGCTGTGAAATAATTCATTACGTACAGGTTTCCTATATGCTTGACTTAGCCATCTTTAGTTCTGTAACCCTCTCAAGTTTTTCACCGCCACCTGACTCTTTTTGTTCTCTACATTGCAGAAACTTGATGACAATTTGATTCAGGAGATTTATTGCTTTGATCCAACTGCTGCATCTGTGCAAGTTCAAGCAGAGCTGCTGCTGGACTGCATCACTGGTAAATATCATAACGAATTTTGAGATTACCAGACGGCTCAGCAATGAAGCAGTATCAGTGGCAACCTTCAGCTGAGTGCTTTTAAGGTCCTTACTTCAGAAATTAATTTTGATTTCACAATAGATTAAACAACAGATAAGGGGTCCTAAATATCTGCAGTCTTTTCTGGTCAATAAAAGCCAACCTGTTAAATTTAGAATCAAAATTCACTGCCTTAAGGAAAGGTGAGCAGACCAGCTTTGAAACCTACCAGAACAAGTGACCTCATTGTAAACCCCCAGATAAACATATTAAGAACGACAGTTCTTCTGGCAAGTAATATGTAAAGACATATTAAGAATGATGGTTCTTTTGACAAGCAAACCTACCACAGACCTCCGTGCCCTGACCCAGCTCCAAACAGCAACACAATTGTGGGAGGACAGTGTGAGCCCTCGACAAGCAAATCTACCACAGACCTCCGTGCCCTGCCCGAGGGATTGACCCAGCTCCAAACAGCAACACAATTGTGGGAGGACAGTGTGAGCCCTCGTCTTTGTAAACAACATCTGCCAAGTACTTAATACACTCACTGGCCATATACAGGAGCTGGGTTTCAGTCTGTATTTCTCTCCTTTAATGAATGTGAGCTTTTTTGGTGGCAGAGCAGTCAAGAGGCTATTATTATTTGTAATATCTCTGCAAGAGAAATGCCTGTTGTTCTTGCTGAGATCTCTCCCTTGATGATCTAATGCCAGACTGAGAGGCCTGTTAAAAATCAAACGTGGACAAGACTTGTTAATTTAGCTGGGGATATCTATCAACAGTACCCTGCCTACAGATGAACAGTGAACGCTTAATGCAGTCATAGTTCCTTTTCGTGTGTTCTCCTCAAAGACATTAAACTAATTCACTGGAGAGAATGAAGCAGGCCTAGAGCATCCAGTCTTCCTCCAGTTAGGGACGTAGACGTAACTAAAATACAGCTTTGGCAAACTGCTGGTATGCTACAAACTGCTGGTATCCTGTTGGCTTCCCAGGATGGAACTTTATCTGAGAGAGTAGCGACAGATGAGTGGTGTGAATACAGGTATAACTCACAATTATAGGAATTCCTTTCAAATGAACATCAGTGTTTACACACGGTGTATGTTGGATAATGCCTGTATGTTCCATATACGTGTGCTGTAATATAGAACAGAGCACAAAAGAACCTACACTCTATCGACAGAGCAACCTTTAATGGTATGATTCTGTGGTGACCTTTAATAGCATTTAGTAAAAGAGCTTTGAAGGATATTACTCTTAAATCAAATCTGAGCTTGGGAAAAAAGCACTTTTCACTTTACATTTTTAATATCAAATGTTTAGCATTAAAATATAGCAGAGCACTTTGTACAACAGGGGACCTACCACAATACAAAAGAAATTATAATAAAAAGGCAGCACTCCCGTGCTTGACCATTCACTGTCACAATAATGCTGTGTGCTTTTCAAAGCATCACCATTTTCCAGGGTGGAATTACTGGACTCGGGGAAAGCTCCACTGATGGGATGATCCTCTCTGTTCGGTCTTGTAACACTGGTCACAGTTTTGACTTGGCTTTTGGAGTTACCCCTCTTCTTTGTTTCAGGTGTACCTAGAGCGGCGGTGTGGCAGCACGGCTCAGTTCCAGCCGAGTACCTGTACAACTGGGTACACACCTGCCTGTCACTAGCAGAGATCACAAGTAAAAAAGCTCCATCTTTAGCCCCTTTTGGCATCCAGTTCTAGTGTGCCTCCAGTTAAATCTCTAATTCCTCATCTAACCGTAGTGATTCTGGTATTTGACGTCTTTTGTTAGATGTCAAACTGTTGCTTTTTTATTTTTTATGCATAGCCACTAAGTATTTGTTAAGATGGTAGGAAGTCTGTTAGGGATTATTAAGAAAATAGCAATACAAACATTAAAGGAAACAATTTTGCTAGTATAGCTACTAAATTATAAAAGCTTGATTAAAGTTTTGTGGGGTTTTTTTTAATTAATTCTGACGGGAAGAGGCAAGAGGAAGGGACGAGTTTATGACTACCAAGCTACGACGCTTGTAAATGATACAGCAAAAATTTTCAAGATTCAGTCTCCTTAAATTACTTTTTAGGAATAATTTTAAGTAAAGTTTCTTAATCAGCATTTTGTCAAATTCTTCTAAATGTGGTGCAGAAAAGCCCTACATTTTTAATATAGCAAAAAAAGCTTTCTTATTGGGATAAAGCTTGAGATTACAGTCAACTGCACTGTCTGCAGCAAGATTTCATCTTTCCAATAACGTTTCTTTTGGCAGAATCACTTTTTTAATAAAATTTTGGGAAATTAAACTCGCTCTTTCTTTCTTTAGTCGGCAACAAGCGACGTCTCCAGGTAGGTGATGACTGGCGGGGGCAGGGTGGCTTCTCACCCCCCCGCCGGGG